TATGTGTTCGTGTAAAATAGAAAGGAAGAAAGAGTGTGTCAGTGTCTATGTGTCTTTATGTTTAATATGTCAGTTTCTATGTTATATACATATATATATATATATATATATATATATATATATATATATATATAAATATATATATATAAGCAAAAACTTCCAAATACAGATGGTAAGTTCATTCTCCTACAAAAATCAATAAATTTCATAGGAAATATGTGTCCTTCGACAGGAATAAAATCTGTATGACTTCCAAACACCCTGAAATGTTCGCATTGGAGCTTCCGGTTTGAGTGCCAAGGTGTACAGCATGCCCTTTTTCAAATTTCTGGCGGAGTGAAATACCCCATGGCGCTCTTTTGCTCACTGAGGGTGCCCAACTGACCCTACTATACAGAGCAGTCGACAAATAAAAATATCTACAACGCGCATGCGTGAAATTAAAATATAATATGGCGACAATTTCCACATTACACCATGTATTTAGTGGATATCAGTATTTGAGTAGATGCTCCATTTGTTTTAAACAGTATTTTATTTCGTCTACCGGTCTTGCATATTTGAGAATACATATTAAAGAAAATGCGCCATCCGATTTTTTAGTTTTTTTATTTAAATGTTCATAACTTTTTTTTTTCTTTTCTAGACATAAAATATGTAAAAATTGTGTCCATGTTCGGAGTTGATGTTATTGAATGTTGAAAGTAAGGTATTTAAAAATGTTTCTAACCAACACGCAATAACATCAACTATGAGCACGGCCACAAGTTGCTGACCGTGTTTGGAAAATAAAAATAAATATATATATTCTCTTCCATAGACAGACTGCTTCGCTGTATCACAGCTCATCAGTGTGGATAGACATTCGATTGCATCAAGCCAGGATCGAAACACGTCTGACTTGGCATCAGTCACAGATTTTCCCCTAATCTATCAGCTCTCTGCAGAGATGAAGGCGAATTTTTACGTATTTATTTTGAATAGACATGCCAGTGACTCAGCTTGCTCGATTCATAAAAGACAGAGAGGGAGAAAGAGAGAGAGAGAGAGAGAGCGTGAAATAGTCTAACACACTGAGTGTTAACCTCAATATGCACTTTTCTATTTAAATATGCTCTGTCTCTGATATTGAATTCTTAAACACATGAATATAACAGATTATAAAACTGTATTTTTATCTCATTACATACATACATATATATATATATATATATATATATATATATATATATATATATATATATATATATATATATACATACAGTAGGGGAAACAATATTCGTACATACAAACTTGTAATTTATTGTACTTCCAACTAATGAATAAACATACTTTTCATATAATTAACTGTACACATTTGCATAATGAGTAAATATGCATAGAAAACTCAAAAGAATTGATTCGATACAAATAAATCCCATTGATCCATTTTAATGAGTGAAAAAGTATTCGTTCAATGCAAATGTAAACATGCAAACTTTTAAATTGCTTTAATACTCTAGATTATTCAAGTGGAATATTCTAGAATGTTCCAATAATGTTATCAGTAGTTATTTTTAGCCTCCTAAATGCAAACAGAACATTCTGTAATTGATATTTGTGCAAGAAGGTTATCATCATGGCAAGTGGTAAAGAACTGACAAATTCGCAAAAAGAACTGATTGTTAAACTCTCGAAAGAAGGTAAAAGTTACAGGAAAATCTCAGACAATCTGAATATTCATTTACTAGCATTAGTTCATTTATTGCAAGATATAAAAAAAAACCTCAAAATTCTTGAAAACCAAAGAAGTGCTCCACATAAGATTTCTTCAAGACATTCGCGGAAATTAATGCGTCAAATTAAAGAAAATTCAATTGGTTACTCATCAGGATGATTTGCTGTCATCGGGAATCTGTGTGACTAAACAGACAAAGAGCAATGAAATTCCCCTTCCCAGCATATATAACCAGTTACGTCCCTTGATTTTCAATTTTTCATTGGTACAAAACATAAGCATCAACACGTGGAGATAGAAACAGTTAAAAACTTTTTGTAAAGCTAAGCGAAACCGGTTAAAGTTAAAAAGTCAAAAAATGGGAAATCAACAAATTATTTTCCTAAGAAGAAACACTGAAAATCAAATTGTAACAAAGTTTTAATTCTTCTCTGTAAAAATTCATATATTATAAATATCACATAATTAAATATTAGGTGCCTTTTTTATCCAATCCTCATTTTAATCCCTCTCTCTTTCTCTCTCTCTCTCTCTCTCTCTCTCTCTCTCTCTCTCTTTCTGTATATATATATATATATATATATATATATATATATATATATATATATATATATATAAGAGAATATTAGTGTTTGAGACTTTTATATTATATTCTTACTCTGACCTGGACATTGAGTTCTACCTGGATTCTATCCTCTTGGGCATATATATATATATATATATATATATATATATATATATATATATATATATATATATATATATATATATATTAATTTATTTTTAAACGTTATTTTTAATGGCAACCCATATCTGAGTAGACGCTTTTTTTTTTCTCGTGAATCTGGAAAATCTATTCGGGCTTTGATTGCCATTGATCTCTTTCGTGGCCGAGAGGTCATGATATACCCAGGTTCGGATTGTGCGGGGAGCGTTCTCGAATATTTAAGCCGGTAGATGAAAATAATTAAATATTTTGTTTAATAAATCAATAAAAAACTGAGAATCTTCTTACATACGCGTATTCATTAAAAATATAGTTTAAGCAATAAATGAATTAAATATAATAAAGTAATTCATCGAGTCTAGAAGAAACCTCAACAGAATGCAGAAAGCAATGGAGAGCCGTTTCGTTTTATATTTGGGACTCATCAGCAGTGCCCATCCACTACCGAGGCAGTGACACACTGACATTCGTATTTATTATATAGATGAGATCTATCAATTCCCCGCCTGAATCAATAATCAGACTGTTGGGGCGCACCCACCTTCTAACTAGTAATGGACTGGTCCCTCTTATATAAGTCAGCTCTGGAGAGAGAGAGAGAGAGAGCGTCAGTGTTAGCAGTCCAGATAAGCTTACCCGGTACATACCATTGGACTATAGACTTTGGATATTGTTTCGTACTAACCAACCTTCGTTCTATTAATCACTCTATTGTTAATTGCTTTTATGAATATACCAGTATTTTCCTCTACAACTGTGTTTGTCTTGATTCATACACCGACACGCGGGAAACTCACAACATCTCAACACAGACCATGTCTTTATAAATCTTAAATCAAGTTAAAACTACATATTATGATGATCGGTGAAGAAGTGAAATTGATTCAGTTTTGTGAGGTACGGTTGCCGTTAATAATTAAGTATAACTCAAGATTCCAATGTTAAGATAAATCTGTAGTTAATTACAACCGAAAATAAATACTTAACAAGAACAAAGAAAAGAAAGTCAACCATTTCAGTGAATATCTTTTTAGTAGATTAACGGCTAAATCCTAAATCAAACCCCAAAACATCGAAGCACAATAATTCATACTAATTCGACTGGATAGTTCCACTCAATAATCACTGCAGTCAGTAGCCTGACACCGCTATTTATACACCTGGCGGAAAACATATATTCACAAGTCCAGAATGTCACGTTCGAACCTCGGTGTCGGTAGTTACTCATTTTCTTCCTATATGACATTCAGGATGCAATGTTAATTTTTACGTCCCCACTGCTTACACCCTTGTGCAAATTAATTGAAACAAAATGAATAATTCCGTTATTATTTACTTCTTTTCATATTTTTCAAATGATACATGACCCAGTTCATATGTTAGTACTTCGTATGGCCATTCCATGAAGTCGTTCTTTACAGATTGACCACATATTCTCGATTGGATTCAAATCAGGAGAGTTTCAGGGCCAGACTAGTGATTTGGTTTGCTCACTGGTAAGTCTTGCCAGTATGTCCGTGTAGCGTTACAATTTTCGTACGCTTCCTTGAATTAACGTCCCCTACAGACAATGGCTATAGAACAACTAATCGACAGTCGAGACAATAGTGTCTGGGCGTGATGAAAATCTGATGCAATCACGGAGGATGCAATATTTTTCAAGGCCAAACAAATTTCATCATGCACTCCGAAAATAGATTCCACTGCAAATGACTTAATCTGAGGAAAGAATATAAATCGATTACACCCTGTCACGCTAATGGGTCTAATACTGACCGAAAGGTGAAAGAAAGAAGACTAAGGCAGTTGTTTTAATTAGCTTGCACAAGGGTGTAAGTGTTTCTGTGTGGTATATATTTTCAGAATTAAAGGGATTTTTTGTTATAATTATCATTAGGAGTATTATGAATAAAAGAAGGGACTACTTTTCGTTCTTTTTCTCTGTTTCATTTTCCTTGTGCGGATATGAAAGCAAGCGAAGAAACGCTGAGAAATTATAGAACTGGTTGCACCGAGAACTGAGATCATGTTGGCAGCGAAGAGCGAACCGAATGGAAAGTTATTTGAAAGAAAGTGAGAATATTCAACAAGGAGATATTGGTAGATTCCGCAGAGAGTTTTTTTTTTCTTCATTTTCGAGAAGGGTAAACATTTATTCGCATACTGCAATATGTCGATGTTTTAGTTCCCAGGGGAAAGTCAAGAAAATTCTCTCTCTTTATTTTATTATTTTCTCTTGTATATTTTGTTAAAATCATTTTTTTTAGTGTAAAAATTAATAAATCAATTTCAAAACCACACTGACTCCAACATTTTCTCTCGCAAGTCACAAACTTATAAAAAAAATGGCAGAGAAAAAAAAGTAAGAATAAACAAAATGGTGGATGCATGAGGCAAGAATATAAAAAAGGGAAATGGAAAACAAAGAAGAAAACTTATACATAGAGAAAAGGAAAAATTATGGAGGAACACTTTTTATTTATAAACTAATAAAAAGAGTAAGAATATATTTTCAAAAAAGTTGAGGCAATTTCATAAGATAAAGCAACGATAAACAAGAATAGAAAGGAGAGACAAGAAAGGTAAGACAAATTAATTGAGACTTTACAAATATGAAAGGATGAGAGCATAATAAAAAGGCGAGATATTAATAAAGAAAGAAATGAATGAAGCAGGAAAAAGAAAGAAGTAAAGAAAGGAACGGAAGAATAATAAAGTGAAACTTTAGAAAAAGTGAAGTAAATCAAAAAAATGATAATACAGGGAAAGATGAGCAGAATTATGAAAAATATAAGAGAAGTATAAAGCAACAAGAAAGAAAGAAAGAGAGAGGAAGAGATAATGAAAGAATGAAGAAGAAAAAAGGATAGTAAAGAAAGAAAAAGAAGACAATAAACGATAAAAAATAAAGAAAGAAAAAGAAAAGGTAACTAAAAAGTACAAGAAGGAAAAACATTATAGAAAAGAAAAAACAAAGCCAAAATAGAGCATAAGATAAAAAAAGAAACACAAAGAACGTCACAAATGCTATTGGGAAAAGAAAAAATAAGAATTATAGAGAATGTTAAAATTTAGAAAGCAACAGAAGGAAGAGAAACCATTTTGAAACCAAACATCTGAATAAAACCAAGAAGTAATCGAAAGATTTTTAAAAATGTAACAAAGAGAAAAACCAAAGCGAGAAAGCAAGCGATAAACAGTCGACGACGAAAAGAAGAAAGAGCGAAAGAAATTAGATGATGAAAAGTAGCTTAAATGATAAGAAAGCGAATAAAGAAAACAAGGAAATCAGTACGAAATTGAAAGTGAAAGTGAAAGTAAAACTAGGATTTATATAAAGATGAAAGAGAACAAAGATAACGGGAAAAAACGACTCAGCACTGAACACAAGCAAATAAGAAACCCTACTGTGTTGGGAGTACAGTCATCTATTCATTTATTTATTTATTTATAAATGCTCTTAAAAACGATCTAAATACAAGCAATTTTCTTACCCCGTCTCACCCTCAAAAATAAAAAATAATAAGTTTATCGATTTCTTAGGCTGAACTGAATTCTACAAAAAAAATCGAAAATCTAAAGAGAATGCATTTTATTCATCTATTTTTTTTAAATACGTTTTTTTTTTTATTTCGTATTTCATTATATCAATTTTTTCATTTCTTTTTCTTTTAACTCAAGTCTTCCCCACGTCTATTGAACTTTAACATTTGCAGCGACCTTCTTCACTTTAGCTGATATTGAAGAAAATGCAAAATAAAATTCATGAGAGTCCTAGTGTCAGGACCAAAAATCGTTTTCAGTTCATAAAGCGAAACCTTTTGGCGTGACACTCCCACACTCACACTGAAGAAGAAACACATCTTTCAAAAGACTTACTATGTTTTCTTCTCCAAGATTGATGTTTCGCATCTCGAGATTTAATCGATCTTATCCTCCTATCCTTTATTAGCTGCTGAAACCTTTTACGAAAACTCCTTCTCACTCAACAAAGTTTTAATATTCTAAAAACACTAGAAAAGTGGCTGGTTCCTGTACCATTCTGTACCGGGCTCCTCCAGCTATCATCTACATTTAAATGTTGATCAGCCCCAAAATAGAGTACAGGTGCCATATCTGTCTATATCGCTGAGATGAGGTATTATGATTACTTTCATTATTTACATTATTCGGACTGTTATCCTCATCTTCTTTGTCATATTCACAACGTTCCGGTCGTTGTACGCTCTGGCCTTTTTCAGGTGATTGGATCGCTGAGATGAGGTATTATGATCACTTTCATTATTTACATTATTCGGACTGTTATCCTCATCTTCTTTGCCATATTCACAACGTTCCGGTCGTTGTACGCTATGGCCTTCTTCAGGTGATTGGAATTTCGATTCGAACGGTTTATTTCGTCTAACGGGGTAGATTGTTCTAGTTCCACGTGCCATGTCTCTTCCAGATGTCTCAGTTATTTCCCTTTATCTCAACTCTCCAAATTTTGGTTCACCACTGCTATGGCCTGGTATTGAACTCACAAATCTTTGGGTCTAGTCACTGGATCTAACGAACTTCTTTATCCACTGGGCCATGTGTCTTTGAGGACACATAGCCCATTGGAGAGTTGACTTAAAGGGAAATAACTGAGACACCCGGAAGAGGCATGGAACGTGAAACTAGAACAATCTACCCTGGTGGACGAAATAAAAATTTCGGTTCGAAATTACAATCACCTGAAGAAGGCCGGAGCGTACAACGGCCGAAACGTTGTGAATATGACAATGAAGATGAGGATAACAGTCCGAATAATGTAAATAATACGCTTGCCATATATTGGCAGGAGATGACCAGGCTTCCTTTTTCCATTTCCGTGTACTTGTGAGTAATGAATTATTTTCCACCCTGCAACCTCTTTCTCACAGACGAAAGTCTCTCTCTGCTCTGTCGCTATTGCCATGGAAAGTCTTCAGACGAATTACATTCCTTAGTTCCACCAGTTCTTCCTTTCACGGATAAGACGCGCCATGCCACAGACATTCTAGCGAACTACTCTCCTTCCCCTCGTATTCCATTAGTGGGATGTAAGTTCAACTCAAGCAGCTTCTTACAAAATTATCATGTTCAAGTCTAGAGTTAACCGTTATCTTCCCTGTATATCTGCGTAAACTGTGTCTTTTAATCCGTAACCCTCTACCTCGTGTGTCTCTTGGGCCTTGTACATGGTGAAATTCATTGTATAAAAAAATTATAATAAAGTGGATTTTTATTGCTGTTTGTTATATACCGTACCTATGAACATTAATGGGTATTTCCAATCCTCATAAATACGTTGGGCACTATTGTAAGTGGAGGTAATATGTTGTCTAAGTAGTTCACCACTAGCAGTGGTTTACCTACTTCACGACGCTGGCGAGTATTGTATTTTGTTGATGTTATAAAGATTAACATTTCATTTCCAACGTCCGTTTTCGTTATTTCTCATTCAGTAACATTTTCTATGTTACAACACTATCAATAAATAGGACTGAATTGCCGAACGATTTTATTTTTATTTTTATATCATTATTTGTCCTGTCACAACGCGGATTTCTTTTCTGTACTATCCTTGATCAACCATGATATCATTGAACATACAGTGGAATCATCTCCTCTTGTCTACTCCCAAGAAAATGAAATTTCGACATTAAATGACCCATAAGGAATTGATATGCCGTTCCACAAACAAACATGGTTTCTCTTTACAAGAATCAAATCAGATGAAGAATAGAGTACTGTTGCTTTGCATTGGCCGGAATTGTTCAATTCTCAATTTCCAGTCCCGATAGAGTTCACAATCGTTTTGTCGATCTTGTAAGGGAACAAATTCTGCACACTTCAGTCACGTTCCCACAGGGACAACTTCGCAAGCTCGTTGCTATTCTATCGCTAAATTCATTGCAAATATTCATATAAGCTCCATTCGTTTTTTCCAGCAGTTTAATCCTTTACAACCAGAAAAATACATGCCTCATCCACGGAGTCCGATCCTCCGCATTTCCCCCGTATTTTGAATGTATAGCGAAAGTTCCACTCAGACAGCTTTTTCATGAGAAGAGCTAATTTATGGAACAAATTTGCGCATGGATGCGTCCCTGAACACTGAAAAATTAATCTCTTCTTGGGATTGCTTTATTATTATCTATCCTACTTATCTTCATAGTTTTCACTTCTTACTACCTCGCATTGATTTATATCACGAACTTCATTCGTCATAACCATTTTAACTACAACCCTCTTCCTTGAGTGGCTCTTGAACCTTGTACTGAACTTTGGTATGAAAGAAAATTGATTAACTGATATGTTTTTTACGCCTTTTTTTGGTTATTAAAAGCCGAACAATATATATGGTTTAGTTTGTTCTTTTTTTTTTTTTTTACGGTATATCAACCGCATTTTGTTATTTAATGCTGACAAGATTTTTATTGCTGGCAATTTTCTTTTTTTCCAAAATATATTGCTGGTAATAATTTTTCTTCCAAAATTTATTGCTAGTATTTTTTTTTTTTTTTTACAAAAACCTATAGCTGCATTAAAACTTATTTTTACACTTTCATAGTGTTTTGACACCAGTTTGGGGGGTCAACTATTTGCCAATAGCTGGGACCCTAACAGGTGCTACCACCCCGAATCATGGTAGATCTGAGAACACCAGCAATTAGGATGTGGTTTCATGCTCTTCAATGGCTTCTGATCAGAGACCTTGCTGTTGGATATAATTATCATCCTACCCAGGACGCTATATATTTGAGATTGTAAGAATATTACTTTGCGTGCGAATCTTGCGTTAACAATTTTTTTTTAAATAATTATTTTTCCAGATACAAGTACAACTATTTAATCCATAACTGGGGGAGGAAAAAAGCTAGGTTCATACTCCCAAGAGTATTTTCACGTGAGCGGGTGTAACGAAAACGACAGGAATTTGAACTCACACTTTGATCAGATATCAATGACACCACCAAAACATCCAGTTGAAATTAGGATGGAAACCTAACATTTTATAGCCTTTAGTACCATGATCTACCTTTTCGTATAAAAGAGGCTTTTTTCTTTCTCGACGAAATGTCAAAAAAATTGACGAGAGGATGAATAGTGTGGAAAGATCCCATACACACTTTTCAGTGCATTGTTTTGACGTCACAATCGAACGGCTTCGCCGACCCCCAGTATAAATTCACCTGATTGTGATCCTTAGTCTAACTGTCTGACATTGTCTCTGCAATGGCCGGCTTTTAGCAGAGTTCTATTGCTGAGAACTTCCCGCTATTGTGACCGCTGTTTCTCAAAATGGCTGCCCTTTTATCTATTTTACGAAGCACATCTTGCGAAGGATTTTACGTGGCTTCGTCTCTGACCTTGCAAATTGTTCAATACGTTTTTCTCCTTCTCTATCTTTTTCTTTGTGGTTAATTTCATCCGCTGCATCTTGTATGGAATCGTTTTCAATGATAGTCTTCAGAAATGAAGGCTAATTGATAGTGACCAAATGAAAAGATTCGACTAGTGAGTATTGTGTACGGCAAATTCTCTCTTGATTTCGAATGACCGAGACGCACTAAAGGCCAACAAAATCTGTAAGAACGAGGCACACGCATGCGCTCTCATGCACAAACTGACGACCGTATCGACTTACTTAAATTCTTCTGTCATTTTCGTGTACAGAATTCGATAAAGACAGAAAGTCTTTTTTTTTTCATTTTCTTTTTTTTTTTAACTTTTACAATAAACACCATCTAGGCACATATACACACTTACCATATATACAATTCCTTTTATCTCGTATATAAGTTCCAACACGAAAACATACGGAAACAGATGCTAAAGTTAACAATACCTAAGCAACTGCCGTGGAGTCATTGTTAGCAAGCTTGTCTAATTCTTCATTGTTAGCGAAGTAAGTTCGATTCTTACGGATGCGCCACTTTTGTCAATCTTAGGAAATCTGTTTGGGGTCATATTTTTAATCAATTTGACCCTAATCAAGGCATTAAAGCCATTACGACAGAAGAGGTAACTGGATGCGGATGAATTAGAAACAAAAAATTTGCTAAGGAGCAAGAACAAAAAGAATGGTAATCAGGAAGACAGTAGATAGTGATTGACATTGCATTTAAATTTTTGCAATGCAGTAAAGCTACTAATGCACAAGGGGCAACTGGATGTAAAAGAACTGGAAAACTGAAACATTACAAAACAGCAAGAACAGAAGAGTAATCAAGTAGATAG